TCTTTCTTATCACAACCTTGCACTCCTCTTTCTCATCACAACAGCCTTGCACTCTTCTTCTCTTTCCATAATCTGCCATAATCTGCTCCCAGACAGGCACTGGGAATCTCTGGATTCCAAAGGGGATGTAAAAGGGAAAGGATTTCAATCCCTCCTTTCTGCAGCGTGGAGCTCTCAGCCAGGTTCCCTTTCTGTATTTGCAGAATTAATTCTCCTTAAGGAAAGGGACAATCCCAAAGCTCTGGCAGCTCCTTGGATGTGCTCAGGTTTTGAAGACAGATTAATTTCTGATGTTTTGTGAACCTCTGAGCTCCTGTGGCTCTGAGGCAGCTCAAAGTTGGTTTTAAAAAGTCTTTAACTGTGGCCCAGAGTGAAAGGCGAAGCTGTGAGATTTGATGATGTCAAATAAAACAAGCAGCTCTTCCCAAGGTGATGGAATCACCTCATATACACTCCTCAATGCCACGCTGCTCAGGTATTGATGAAAATGTCATTTAGAAGTTAAACCTTGGAGTTACTGAGGTAATTTTGTTGATTTTACAGGTCCCAAGGGGGAGAAGGGAGATGCTGGGCTGCCAGGGCTGCCGGGAACTCCTGGCCCTCAAGGTCCCAAAGGCTCTAAAGGAGAAAGAGGTAAACCAGACTGATGGGAAATGCTGCTGTCCTCATAAAATACCACAAAATTATTAAAAAAATTTTCAAAGCAAAAGAAGATTTCTGCTAGGGATTGAGCCCTGGAGAGGTTTAGCTGGCATCAGTGCAGGGACAGGAACTCAGGTGGTGGCAGTGTTTGTTCAGGTGGAACAGGAGCAGGTGCTCATAAAGACCTCACTCGAAAATTCTTGTTCAGAACAGGAGTTCAAAATCCTGGTTCAGTTTGCTTTGGATGAAGGACAGAAGTATGAAAAAGCCACCACGGAATTTGTGTGCAGGTGTAAAATCTGCATTTCAATTTCAATATCTCAGGCAAAAGAACTTTAAGATGTATGTTAGTATATACTAAGCAGAAGTTGAAAGTTGATAGTGAAAATGGTTTCTGATCCTACCTCTACCCTGATTTACTCAGCTTTAATGAAGAGGAATGAATTGGACTTACCTAGAATTCAGTACTTTAAGCAGATTTTTCATTTTGTCATATAATTTTGTACAAAGCTAAACAATTTGCAACTCTGAAACACTTCAGTTTTGAAATGATTGAGATCAGTTTATCCATCAGTATTCCTGAAAGGAAACCCTGCCCTTTGTCTGGGGCTTGGAGCAGCTTTATCCTGGCAGGATCCTGCTGCTGCTGCCTCTGGAGAATCACCCAGGCTCCCAGCAGCAGAGGCTGGTGCTGTTCAGTCCCTGCAGCCCCTTAGGCAGTGATGTACTCCTGGAAAAAGCTTTTTGGGCTTTTGAATGAGAAATGAGGAATGAGGAATGAGGGAAGAGGAATGAAGAATGAGGAATGCAGAGCTGTCACCTTCTCCATCTTCCATTGAACAGCAGCAGCTGCCTTGCAGAGGGGCAGAAATCTCGGAGTGAGGTGGTGCTGGGGGCTGTGGGATCCAGCTGAGGTTCCTGAAGGTGTTTCCTCAAAACCCACATTGCTCACGTCTGTTTTGTGAATGAAGTGAGGGGCACACGCTGATGGTCCCAGTGGGGTGTGATGCTTGCTCTGCTGCACACACCAGCACCAATTAATGAATTGATCCATTAATTCATGCTGGAACGTCCTAGGAGGAAAAGGGGAGCAAGGGGAGCGAGGAGCGAGTGGAAGCCCCGGTTATCCAGGGAAACCCGGGCTGCAAGGTAGGCCTGGAAAATCCAGGATTGCTCTGACCTTTCCCTCTGCTCTGGGTTTTGCAGTGGCGTGGAAGGACCAATCCCTTTGGATGGTCCTTCCATCTCCAGGTCAATCCAATTTTATTGGTTTTAATCTTCTTTTCCCCCCAGGTGAAGCTGGAGCCAAAGGCAATAAGGGCAGCTACGGCTTCCCCGGCCTGAAGGGACAAAAGGGGGCTAAAGGGGACACCTGTGACAACGGCACCAAGGGAGACAAAGGGGACAGGGGCGATCCCGGAGAGCCGGGAGCGGGCGGGGAGCAGGGGGACAAGGGAGAAAAGGGGGACACGGGGGAAAAGGGCTACTGCGGGGAGCCGGGGGGCAGAGGGGCCAAGGGGGACAGAGGGGAAGGGGGCACCAAGGGGGAGAAGGGCAGCAAAGGGGACGCGGGCACTGAGGGCACGCGGGGGGCGGCCGGCAAGCAGGGAGAGAAGGGCGAGCAGGGCCCCAAGGGTGACAAAGGGGACCTGGGCCCCGCGGGCGCCAAGGGCGAGCCTGGCACCAAGGGCGGGCGCGGCGCCCCGGGCAGGAAGGGTTCCCGTGGAGCCAAAGGCGCCGCTGGGCACGTCCCCAGGGCCCCGCGCTCGGCGTTCAGCGCGGGGCTCTCCAGGCCCTTCCCTCCTCCCAACGTGCCCATCAGGTTCGACCGCGTGTGGTTCAACGAGCGCCACGATTACGACCCCGCCACGGGCAAGTTCAACTGCAGCGTGCCCGGCGCCTACGTCTTCTCCTACCACGTCACCGTGCGCGGCCGCCCCGCGCGCCTCAGCCTCGTGGCCAGCAGCAGGAGGGTGGCCAAGGCCAGGGACACCCTCTACGGCCAGGACATCGACCAGGCCTCCTTCCTCACCATCCTCAAGCTGAGGGTGGGCGACCAAGTGTGGCTGGAGGTCGCGAAGGACTGGAACGGGCTCTACGCCGGCGCGGAGGACGACAGCGTCTTCACGGGGTTCCTGCTGTACCCTGATGGTTTTGAGGTCCTTCTGTGAGTTTATAACGTCTTTTCCCTCTCGGTGTGAGAGGAGAAAAGGGCAGCACCTTGGTTTAGTTGTTATTTTTGTGATGTTTTAACAAAAAAACGTTTATATTTGCAAGGCGTGGATTAGTTTGAAGAAGTCATGCATCCTTCGCCCGTTGTCCCAACAGGACCAGCATGGGGAGGGCATTTCCCAGCACAGTTTGTAATTAGAATATTCAAATCATGGAGTGAAACTCCTTCTCAGCTTCTGCAGACTTTGCATGGCCCAAATTCCCTCTAGGAATCAGTTCTGATCACCTCTGATTTTGACAAATGCCAGGATTTGATTTATAGAGCTCAGTCAGGTGGGAACATGAGCAGTAGGTTCCTTGAGATCACCTGAAAAGATTTAAAGCTCTTTTATCCTCGAATCAGTATTATTTAGTGCTTTAGTCTTGGTCTAAAAGAATATTAGATCAATGTAAAAAACCCTTCTAAATCTTGTTCTTAAACAAAAATAAATCTGAAACTTTCAGAAGTAGCTGAGAGATGAATATTTGACTTTATTGGCCTACTCAGACCACCAGGTTCTGAGCCTCTGATGCTGTGGGATCATCCTTGGGATCAGCCAGAAGGGAACATGAGCAGTAGGTTCCTTGAGATCACCTGAAAAGATTTAAAGCTCTTTTATCCTTGAATCAGTGTTATTTAGTGCTTTAGTTTTGGTCATGAATTATATATAAAATTATCTAAAAGAGTATTAGATCAGTGTAAAAAACCCTCCTAACTCTTGTTCTTAAACAAAAATAAATTTGCAACTTTCAAAAGTAGCTGAGAGATGAATATTTGACTTTATTGGCCTACTCAGACCACCAGGTTCTGAGCCTCTGATGCTGTGGGATCATCCTCGGGCTGCTGGGAGGAGGAGGAGGCAGCCAAGAACAGACTTTGGAACTCCCTCAAGGTGTTGTGATGGCTCAGAGGATTTGTGGGAATGTTTAAAAAGCCTCACCGGAACCATTTGACCAGAAGACCTTAATCCAAGCTGGTTTTCACCTTAAAAATACTAAAAAGTAAAAAACATCCTTAATTTTGAGCTGTTTTCCCTCACTTTTCGTGCTGTGGCAGAATGACAATGGATTGATTGAGTATGTGCTTTGTCTCATTATGGAGCCCTGCTAAAAAAAACTTGCCAAAATATTTGTTCCCTTTTACTTCTGCTTTTATTTTGTTTGGTAAAACTGTCCCTTCCTCAGGCTGCAGTGAAGCATTTTGACACTGGTGGAAGAAAATAAATGCTCAGGGTTCTAATCAGGCCAACAGCTCTTGTCAATAATTATAAAAAATTATTCCAAAGCCATAAAAACACCTATTTTGTGGTGTTTTCCATGTTTTTATTTGCATTTATTTGGGATCAAGGAGCTGCTCTTGGCTGCTCAAAGGCTGGATCCTCACTCAGCTCCTGCTCCTTCCATTCTGAATTTCTATTCCCTGACCCAGGTAAGATCCTAGTTCTGCTCTTCTTTGATTTGGATGAAAATGAATGGATTTCATTGATTCAGCCCAGATTACAAATATAATGTCATAATCCAGGTTCCATTTCAGGTGAAATGTTTTCAGTTTTTTTTTTTTTTTTTTTTTTTTTTCCCTGTGTCTTTGCTTGCAGCTGATTGGCTGCTGAAAGGTTTTCCCTTTTGAAAGGAGAAAAACCCCTTTTGATGGGAATTAAAGTGGATTACAGTGTGAGCAGTGCCATTTTTCCAGTGTTTTGTAAAATGCTCCTTAATAGGGAATATTTATAAAAGTATACAGAGTATGGGAGAATGAAGTAAAGACAATAGGTTAGAAAAACAAAAGAAACTTTGTCACAACTTTCCATTAGATTAGAAAGTTAATATATTACCTTACAACAAAGAAACTTGTAACTACTTTAAACTCTACCCAACTTCTTACTCCTCTAAAACCTCACAACCTTTGGAACTAATATGCGCTCAAAAACTCGCATGACACTGGCTCAAAAACTCATGTGGCACTGGCTCAAAAACTCGCATGGCACTGGCTCAAAAACTCGCATGGCACTCACTCAAAAACTCACGTGGCACTGGCTCAAAAACTCGCATGGCACTGGCTCAAAAACTCATGTGGCACTGGCTCAAAAACTCGTGTGGCACTGGCTCAAAAACTCGCGTGGCACTCACTCAAAAACTCGTGTGGCACTCACTCAAAAACTCGCGTGGCACTGGCTCAGAAACTCGTGTGGAACTCGCTCAGAAACTCACGTGGCACTCGCTCAAAAACTCGTGTGGCACTGGCTCAGAAACTCGCGTGGCACTCGCTCAGAAACTCGCGTGGAACTCGCTCAGAAACTCGCGTGGCACTGGCTCAAAAACTCATGTGGCACTCACTCAAAAACTTGTGTGGCACTCACTCAAAAACTCGTGTGGCACTCAAAAACTCGCGTGGCACTGGCTCAAAAACTCGTGTGGCACTGGCTCAAAAACTCACGTGGCACTGGCTCAGAAACTCGCGTGGCACTGGCTCAGAAACTCGTGTGGCACTGGCTCAAAAACTCGCGTGGCACTCACTCAAAAACTCGTGTGGCACTCACTCAAAAACTCGCGTGGCACTCACTCAAAAACTCGCGTGGCACTCACTCAAAAACCCGCGTGGCACTGGCTCAGAAACTCGCGTGGCACTGGCTCAAAAACTCGTGTGGCACTCACTCAAAAACTCGCGTGGCACTCACTCAAAAACTCGCGTGGCACTCACTCAAAAACTCGCGTGTCACTGGCTCAGAAACTCGTGTGGCACTCACTCAGAAACTCGTGTGGCACTCACTCAGAAACTCGCGTGGTACTCACTCAGAAACTCGTGTGGCACTGGCTCAGAAACTCGTGTGGCACTGGCTCAGAAACTCGCGTGGGGCACATGGTTGACAAAGTAATCTGTTAGGAGCTGCAGGGCTGTGGTTTATGGTGCAGGACTGAGCTGCTGGGTGGAAGAAGCTTCTGAGCAGTGGTGCAGCCATGCTCAGCTCACCTGATGCTCCAGCATGAATCCCTGGGTTTGTTTTTGGGATTCTGCATCCCACTGTGTCCTCATGGGGCATGGATTTGGGGATGGGGGGGCTACAGGGGCTTCTCTGCCAGAAGCTGCCCTTGTGTCCCCTGGACCTGTTGTTGGACAAGGCTGAGTGTCTGGGAGGGAGGTTTTGGGAATTTTGGGGGGCAACACTGGAGCTGCAGAGAGGAGTGTGGGTTTGCAGGAGGGGCAGGAGCCGAGTTCCCTTTGGAATCCAGTCCATGGAGGAGCACAAGTCCTTCTGCTGTGGGGAGGACCCTACAGCACAGCAGGGCAGAGGCTGGGATCCCATGGGAGTCTCAGGCTGGATCAGCTCCGTGTGATCCCATGGGAATTCCCTGCTGGATCAGCTCTGCGATCCCATGGGAAGAGGCCCCACACTGGAGCAGGGAGGAATGAGGAGCCCTTTCCCTGAGGAGGAAGGAAGGAAAACCTGGGATGAGCTGACTGCAGCCCCCATTCCCTGATCCCTCCGCTGGGAGTGGCAGAGCCTGGGAAGAAGGGAGGAATAGGATGAGGTGGTTTTTAGGATTTAGTTTCATTTCTCATCACCCAACTCTGGTGATAAATTAATTTCCCCTGTGGACTCTGCTCTTCCTGTGCCCCCTTCCTGTCCTTCCCTCACCCTAAACCATTCCTGGGTGTTCTGACTGAGCAGGGAGTGATGGAGCAGCTCTGGTGCTGCGTGGAGCTCCTCTCTTGTAACTCAGTTAATTAATTAATTAATTAAAACCTTCAAACCCATTTGCAAAGTGCCGGCTGGGGGATGTGTTTGAATTCTGAGCAGCTCAGCCTGGCCGGGACGCTCCCCGTGGGATTTGGGATGCAGCAGGGACAGCAGATGGCAATGTGGCACTGCCGACCGACCGCGAGCCGGGAACGCACACGGAGAATTTTCTGTGGGAAGTCAGGGGGAGCCTGTCTTGGGGCTGGGCACAGGGTTTGGGGCTGGGAGGGATGGGTTGTTCCATAGGGTGGGATGGGATGGATGGTTTCCATGGGCTGGGATGGATGGATGGATGGTTGTTTCCATGGGCTGGGATGGATGGATTGGTTGTTTCCATAGGATGGGATGGATGGATGGATTGTTGTTTCCATGGACTGGGATTGATGGATGGATGGTTGTTTCCACAGGATAGGAGGGAGGGATGGATTGATTGTCTCCATAGGCTGGGAGGGAGGGATGGATGGTTTCCATAGGATAGGATGGTTAGATTGTTGTTTCTATAGGCTGGGATGGATTGGGATGGATGGATGGCTTCCATGGGCTGGGATGGGTGGATTATTTCCATAGGCTGGGTTGAATGGATTGTTGTTTCCATAGGATGGGATGGATGGATGGGTGGTTTCCATGGCCTGGGATGGATGGATTGTTGTTTCCATAGAGTGGGATGGATGGATGGATTATTTCCATAGGGTGGGATGGATGCATGGATGGATTGTTGTTTCCATGGCCTGAGATGGATGGATTGTGAACTTGCTCAGGAGGAACTTTGTCCCTGTCCTTGGGCTCTTTGTGTCTCCTCGGAGCTCTTTGTGTCCCCTCAGAGCTGGGCTCATGGATTTTGGGATGGAGGACACTCCCAGCCTGTTCCTTCCACTTAGGAAAGGTCTATTTAGGATTTGATGCCTTAGAAAGGCCAAGCTCGGGCCCACAATGGGGTTTATTGGGGGCTACCTGTGTGTTTATTTTGATTTAAATGTTATTTTATCACTGAAGATCCGTGTCCACACTGAGAGCTCTGGATGGAGAGAGCTGCAGCACAAATCTCAGCTTGGAATATGTGAATTATTCCCCAACTTCAAGATGTCTGTGACCACACTGGAGACTCTCTTTGAATTTAACACAAGTCTTGTGATAAAACCAACCAAAAGCTGAAAATCCCCATTTTTTGGTGGCTCCACATGTAGAAAATGAGGAGGCAGGGAAGCTGTAAATGCAACAGAAGC